CGATTAATTGTTTCTCCCATATGTGGTAATGGATAGGAATCTTTTTTGGTGATGTTGTTAAGTTTCCTGTAATCTACACAAAATCTAGTTGACCCGTCTTTCTTCTTGATCAAGACAACTGGAGACGTCCATGGTGAGGTTGAATGTCTAATGAGATAATTCTTTTCCATCTGGTGAATGTGTTCTGCTAATATTTGTTGTTGTTGAATAGTTTTTGAATATGGCCTGGAACTAATCGGATTATGATCACCCGTGCGAATTACATGTCGAATCTGTCTATTTGCGATTGTCATTTTTGATAAATTAAATAATGTTCGATGTTTCAATAACATTGGATATACTTATTATTGTTTTTGTTCATCTAAATGGCTGATCAATTTATGTATGGTATTATCAATATCACTTGATGTTGGTGATTGCTGAGTTCTGCTATCATTGTGTTGAATATCCAAGCATGAGTGTCATTTTGATGGTGATGATGAAGTTAATGCCAAACATTGCACACTAGATGGAGCATAGGTAATAACACCTAATCTGGTATTCCGTGGAATGTGTCTTGGATGGTCATTTAGATTGATCACCGTTAATTTCGTCATATAATTTGTAATTTTTAGTAATGCATGTGGCATCAAAATTGCCGGATTATGTTGAAGTTGTTGTTTTGGATGAAATATAACTGTGTCAGCTGTTGAAATGGGAACTTGTGCTTCAATCTCACATTCTTGTCGTGGACCTAATATAATTGGATGAAGAAGTTTAATATCAAAAGCAACATTTTCTGTATCTTCATCAAATGGTATTGATACTGGACCAGATCTAGTTCTAATTCTAATCTCCTCACTGCTTTCTAATACATCACCTTGGTATTGTCGTATCCAATCTTTACCCAAAATAAAATCGGTACATAGTGAATCCGCCACCAATGCCGTAACCCTGGTGGTTATATATTTAATTCTAATCTTCAGTTGTACTTCGCCAATAAAATGCATATTAGTCTTATTGGCTAATTGATAATAATAACTTTTTCTTGTGATGGGTGCATGATGAAGCTTTGATAAGGTAGATTGATTAATAATTGAATTGGTTGCTCCGGTATCCACCAAGGTTTTGATCATTTTTCCATTCACTGGAACTGTAATAAATGTTAAAGGTGATGGTTTTATATTGTGATTGTTGGAGCCACTACCACCATTACGTGACTCCATCACTGGTTTAAATATTGCGAACAATATCTGGCATAATGTCCAGGCTGACCACATGTATAACATACTTGTTGTTGATCATGATATCGTGGACGTGTTTTGGAATTAATATATGGCTGATTATTACTATTTGAGTTTTGTGGACGATTGTTTGTTGATGGTGAGGTATGAGCTGACTGCTGTTGTTGTTGTGAACGATCCACTGATGTTGTATTTGACTGTTGGATACCTTTTCTAGTCGATGTTTCTTGTATTGTCGCGGTTGTTCCTAAGTCATTGAGCTGAACTTTTGATAATCTGACTTGAATATGTTCATGTTGTTGCGTAATATTAAAAAATTGTTCTGGTGTTGTTATTTGTTGGTTTAATGCATAATGTTGCAATTCCGGTTTTAATCCATCTTGTAAATAGCCAATTCGTGATGAATCTGCCATACTGGAACCGTATTTATCACATAAATTCATTATGTCACGATAAAATCTTGAAATTGGTTCATTCCATGCTTGTTTACGCCCGGCTAATTGGCGTAATATTTCTCGGTCATTGGATGGTGCTATTGCCGGAAATCTGTGTGATAGTAATTGGTTAAACGTTTTCCAATCACATATTTTATCTTGATTCTTTTGATACCAGTTTTGAGCATCACCTTCTAGTTTAAATTTTGCCACGACATATAACTCATCATCACTACAATTCACCATCTTACCTATTTGTGTGATGTTATTTAACCATTTGATAACATTTTCATTGTCTTTTCCACTAAATATAGGTAACTGTTTTACCTTATGTTCCATCAATGTTTTAAGCAAATTATTTGATAAGTCGATTGTTGAGACAGATTTTGTATTTAATATTGTTGTTGAAGAGGGAATTGCTTGTTCCAGTTTAATTAAATCATGATGATGATTAACACATGTTGGGTATTTCTCGACTATCATTTGTCTAAATGAATCCCAGTCATAAACCTGGTTTTTATTTTTAATATACTAACTTAAGGCTTCACCCTTTAAATACCATGCAGCTAATTTACTCCATTTATCTTGTGCATGGTCAGTTAAATCTAATGCAACTTCCAGTTGGTCGATCCATGCTACCACATCTTCTGCTTTGTACCATGAAAATCCTGAATTCTCTCTAATATATTTGGTATATGTTGCTTACTTAAAATTGAGGTTAACGTAACTTTATCATCTGATCGTATTTTATCCTCATCTAAGATCGATGTCGTCCGAAATAAAGTGGTTGTGGATTTATCAATATATCCACGTTCATCCTCAGTTGCAGTAGTCTCTTGTTTCGACTGTGTATTACAATCATTGTTGCTCATGTTTGATGTTAATTTGTTTCTTTCTGACCTTGTTCTATCTGCAATTACGTTCATAAACTTGAAAGTAAATATAAATCAATAAATCCCAATTATAATACGCTGCCAATAATAAATAGAATAATATACTAAACGAGGGGTTCGCCTATTGTGATGATATAACTTCACAATAGTTACCGCTGTCACCAGTTGTTAGGTCGGGCGCTGTCACCAGGTGAAAATCCCTTTCACCAATTGAAAAGTCTAAGTTGATCGAGCAAATAAAACTTTATTTGTATTCAACAAAAACCTATCGAACCTATTAAAATACATCGTTATTTATAGCAAAAAATCAAACATTTAAAATGAACAAAATGATGCAATTCTAAATTACACCAAGCTAGGATTATCTGGAAACCTATGACGTAATGAAAAGAGATTGAAATCCTATGAATGATGAAATAGTACCCAGAACAGCGTACAAGACCATTGGTCTGATGAAATAGATAACTACCATATGATATCGCAAAAACCGAACGAGATCATATGTATGACGAAATAGACAAAAAAGAAAGAGAACATATGTATGATGGAATGGACAAAGAGAAAGAAAACATATATATGATGAAATAGACAAAGAGACAGAGATCATATGTATGATGACACATAAAAAGGGAACGAAAAGAGATAAACGAAATACATGATGAAACAGTTAAAACAGAATGACCTTTAACTTAGGGAGTGAACGTATTCACTTCCTAACACGCAGCCTGATGTAGTGGAAAGTCTGGGCTATAAAATAAAAAGAATCCCAACGGTCCGTCTTTTTAAATATTTTAAGTTTTTCAAAAGTCTAAAACTGAAGCCCTATCCAAAACTCCGTCAGATAAGACTGAGCAAAAAATCCCTTAACACGTAAGCGAGAAACTTTTCGTCGAGTAATCGCATTTCAATTATTCGAAGCTCATCATCAGCCTTCAGTCTAAACTGATAAGTTTTTCTATTTCATTAGGCGATGAAATGGTTGATATTCAGACACACAAACAAACAATATTAAATGAGTTACAGGAAGAAGTAATGAATATTCAATTACCAGAACGGACTACTGAATGTATGATATGTCTTCAAGATGTATCATGTATCCGAATACATTGCAGTGTCAGTATATGTCTTGAATGCTTTCCACGCTATTTTGTTAATTACGATTATCAATTGAAATGTTTAATATGCGGAAAGTTTGATGAATATGAAAACGTATTTCCAACACAAGCATTTATTAAATCATTATATCAATTAGATAGTACAAGTGAAATGATGAAAAATATTGATTTTCAAATATGTACATGTGGTTCATATGCAATCAATGAAACAATGTATTCGAAACAACAATGTTCATCATGTAAACGTTGGTTATGTTTTTTCTGTGATAGCGACTGGGATGAATCAAAGGGTATGAAAAATCAATTGTATACGTGTACACAAAATTGTTTATATGAAACAAAACTTCTTTACAAATTAGTACCATTATCAATGAATTTGGAAGTGCAAGTATCAAATCGTCGTTGTTGTCCAAAATGTTATTACACCGGCGATTATGAAGTTGGCAAATGTAAATATCATAGTTGCAAATGTGGTCATCAATTCTGCTTTATATGTTTGGAAACAGAAGAAGATTGTAAAACAAAATATAAATCAGCATATAATAGACCATGTGCAGCAATTAAAAAACAGGAATATACCCATTTTCCAAGAATTTGTAAGTCAGAATGAGCTTCGCTTAAAAACCTCACACCTTAACCAAGAAATAATCTATACACACACGCTTTGAGAAATTCGATTAGCAGAAAATATGTTGTTTTTTGTAAAGAGAATTCTTCAATAAACTCTTGAATCTAATGTTTTCTTTTATTATTGGGAAGCAAGACATTGTACTATAGAATAATTGAGAAACATACATCTAAACGTGCAAAAGAAAAGTATTACTTGGCTGCTAAGAAGGGAAGTTTTTTTGTAAATAAACAAAACAAATACATTCGCTATATGCATTAAAAATTTCATTATAGATTGTGTTCTATATTTTACATTGTGGCTGCGTTGATGTTTGATACGATTCGCAACAAAAATAAATTACCCATTATTGTACGTAGTCGTTTTAAATCGAGGGTTAATCGATTAAACACTCCATCTTGTGCAATCATAGGTTTTAAACTTGTAATCAATTATCAACATCAAAAATTGTGGCACATAAGGCATACATGCGTGAGTATACGAGGTTTAAAACATACTCACCACGATGCAACAGACAACTTGGAGGATCTTGATGCTCTTCATGGTTGTTCTCCTTCTCTACTTCCTCAGATAAGTACGTATAAGAAACATCTCTCATACATGTGTCTAACGACGACACGTTTTAAAACAAACCAATGTGTTCATTAGAACTCTAATTCGTACAGTATGAAAGTTGATTGCTTGTTTTGTAAATAATTGATTAAGTTGAAGTTTAATACGTTAAAATGTTTGATGTGTAGGATTGTAATCAAGTAATTAATAAAATTCCTCATCAAATAATTGTTGTAAAATGTTGGATTCGTAGATAGAAGATTCGAGATCAACATAATGTTGTTTCATAACAGACTAATTCCAGATGGAGACAATGGAACATTTTCAATCCTACATATAATATCTGTTAGATGAACTGATTGTAGTAAAGTGGTTTATTTAGTATATTCTGTTCTGGATAAGATGGTTTGATAATACTCAAGGGTGGATATTCTGATAAAAGGTACTTTATATTAGTATTAGCAATGGTACTACCCAGGTGCCCCTATTGGTCAAGATTTTGGGGTCGCATATAGCCTACGGTCTTCCTCTTGATGCATCTGGACCCCGTGCAAAAGCTGGTTGAAAAGGTTGGTAATCTTGTAGTGGTGATAGAAATAGGTGACATTGTCTACAGGTCTACTGGTGGTAATTGTTATTCATCAAGGGCATCAAATCTAAAGTCTTCTCCGGTGTGTAGGTTCAGTTAAATATGTAGACTGTGCAGAGATCTCAGAATGAAAAGTCACAGTAATGAGAGAAATGCACAAGGTGGAAGTATCATAAGTTGTGGGTTACCTCGATGTGACATCGCTTTGCCGTTTGAGTCTTTCAGAATGCAGCAACGATCATTTCGATCCTGTTTGATGCACAAAGGATAGTGGCACAGCCAGAGCACCTCAATCACAGGACGCTAGATTGGCTCTAGCAACAAACTGATCCGAGTGTCAAGTATCTACAGATACACATTCACTGGAAGTTCAAGAGTGAATGTTTTCGTCACATACGGCAAACGTTACCTTATTGTCACAACTCACAGATGAAACACAAAGACAGCCCCTCTCACTTCTATTCTGAGATCCAATGGCAGTAACGTTTCGCATCAGAACTGAAAAATACACCGGTGAAGAAGCTAAAGATACATCCGAGATGAAACTTCTCACCGGCAAAAACAATATCCCACTTTAGATGAGCAAATTAATAATAGTTCAACTTTGTGACGTTGAAACGGAATGAAGCTTATAACCCAAAACAAAAACAATAAATTGCTGTGTACCCTGAAGGTGGTCATGGAGAAAATCAGGTTCGCGATCAGATCTCAGCAAGAATGGAGCAAGAATATCACTAGGGGTCCACCAGTCATTATTACAACCAACCGAATCATTAATTATTGATATAATATTAGTCACATCGCAAGGATAATTATAACTATAGTAATAAATCAGATGTATTATGGCTATTCACCGTACCAATATCGAAATAATAACCGCAGCTATAATAATCGCTATCCCAATAACCCTTATCTGTACAATTATGAACAATAACAACAACAATGACAACGTTTTCCTCATTACTACAATAATTGTTATTCAAATAATCAACAAAAAATACAGCAGTTTTACAAATGGTTAAATTTCAAAAAACTGGTATGACCAACATCAATGAGCAGTTGTGCGACCACATAATCTCAGCTAATCGGCTATGTGCGACCCCAAAATCTCGACCGACAGGGGCACCCGGGTAGTACCATTGCTAATACTAATATGAAGTGCCTTTTATCAGAATATCCACCCTTGAGTATTATCAAACCATCTTATCTAGAACAGAGTAGACTAAATAAACCACTTTACTACAATCAGTTCATCTAACAGATATTATATGTAGGATTGAAAATGTTCCATTGTCTCCATCTGGAATTAGTCTGTTATGAAACAACATTATCATTAGTCCTGCAGATGAAAACCTTCGTATGGTTGATCTCGATTCTTTTATCTGCAAATTCAACATTTTACAATAGTTATTTGATGAGGAATTTTATTCATTACTTGATTACGATTCTACACATCAAACATTTTAACGTATTAAACTTCAACTTAATCAATTATTTACAAAACAAGCAATCAACTTTCATACTGTACGAACAATTGAGCCAAAAAGGTCATCTTGTGGGTCATTCTATATTTTACCTAAATTAATAATTAATTCCTCCTCTTACTTTAATAGCGATCAAATATACTTTTTATTCTATTATTATATACTTTTCTTTGCTTCTTATTCTTTTCTCATACAGTACATACACGTGTCACCTGTATGTACGCGTGAGCTATTTCTTTTATGAATTTCTGTAATTTTTGTCAATTTTATCAATATTATTCCTTAAAACAAGATATATGTTGATATGAGTGTAGCGACAAGGTCATTTCGTGATCCTAAAGAAGATCAAGTTGAGCATAGAAACGTGGAGGGACTTGTAGAGCAACGTCGACAAAAAGTTGCAAGATCAAGATCTTTTTTTTTTTTTTTTAAACTTGTTTCTTATTTATTTAACGCCAACTGGAAAAAAAAAAAGTACAAAGCTAAGAAGAGCAGGCAAATCGAAGTAAGATCATTATATGCCTGGATCTATTCGACAAAATGAGACATCAATAAAACAGATAAGAGAGTAAAAGAAAACAAAAAAAAATAA